TTTTTTGATTTATTGTAGAGATGAGGTCTATGCCAAGTTGCCCAGGTGGGTCTCGAACCTGTGGGCTCAGGCAATCCACTCACCTTGGCCTCCCAAAGTGCTGGAATTACAGGCTGAGCCACCGAGGCAATTTTTTTTTTTTTTTGAGTCGGAGTCTCACTCTGTTGCCCAGGCTGCAGTGCAGTGGCACACTCATGCTTACCACAGCCTTAACTTGCTGGGCTCAGGTGATACTTCCGCCTTAGCCTTCCAAGTAGCTGGAACTACAGGCATGTTCCACCATGCCCAACTAATTTTTTTTTTTTTTTTTTGTAGAGATGAGGTTTCGCCATGTTGCCCAGTTGGTTTTGAAGCCCTGAGCTCAGGTAACCCTCTCACCTCTATCTTCCAAAGTGTTGGGATTACAGGCATGAGCCACTATGCCTGGCCAGTTGTACCAATTTACATTCCATCAGCAGTGTATGAGGTTTTAGTTGCTCTCAACATTTAAGCCAAGTACTGTTGATGTCCTGGGGAGACCTGCCAGGAGACAGATACTAATACTGGAGATATTTTTTTTTTTTTTTTTGAGTTGGAGTTTCACTGTCACCCAGGCTGGATGGAGTGCAGTAGTGGCACACTCACAGCCACCGCAGCCTCGACCTGCTGGGCTCTGGTGCTCCTTCCACCTCAGCCTTCCAAGTAGCTGGAACTACAGGTGCATGCCATCACACCCGGCTAATTTTTTGATTTACTGTAGAGATTAGGTCTTGCCAAGTTGCCCAGGCTGGTCTTGAACCTCTAGGCTCAGGCAATCCTCTCGTCTCGGCCTCCCAAAGTGCTGGAATTCCAGGCACGAGCCACAACACCTACCCAACACTGGAGATTAGAGATATGGATTACCTCAACACTAGTGTAAAAATATTAAAGCAAACCCTGGGCAGAGCTAGTCTTTGTTATTTTTTGGACAGGCACGTAGTGCTTAGATGCTGCTCTGTCTCCCAAAGCCCCCACCCAGGACTGTATAGTTTGGAGAGTTGAAGAGTGTCAAAGGCCTGGGAAGGAGGAAGGATCTGGAGGCTCTTCCAAGCTGGAAACTGCTCATGGTTAGTGGTTAGGCAAAGGGATCAGATCAATTCATGCAGTCTAAGCTATTAAAAGCTTCCTAGATTATTTCCTAAGGGGTATTTGCACTAAACAGAGCATGATGTCACAGCTAAACCCTTGGAGGCATCTGAAGCAGGATGATGGGAGAGATTTTGGGGTTAGAAGGACCTACAGATGACCCTAGAATTATATCAGAGGTCCTTTGTGAAAGGCCAGCTTTGCCTACAATTAACCTTGTTGTCTCTTCTTGTGGAAGAGAAAAAGGATATGTTTCTCTAGAAATCAAGCACTGAAGAAGGAAGGGAAATACACTGAGTTCAGAGCAGATCTACCTTTTGCTGGGTAACTGTGGCATATTGTGAACATTTCTCACATTTTTTTTGAGTTGAAGTCTCACTGTCATCCAGGTTGAAGTGCAGTGGTATGCTTACGGCCACCGTGGCCTTGACCTGCTGGGCTCAGGTGACCCTTCCGCCTTAGCCTTCCAAGTGGCTGGAACTACAGGAGTGTGCTACCACTCTTGGTTAATTTTTTGATTTATTGTAGAGATGAAGTCTTGCCAAGTTGCCCAGGCTGGTCTTGAACCCCTGGACTCAGGCAATCCTCTTGCCTCAGCCTCCCTAAGTGCTGGGATTACAAGCTTGAGCCACCACATCTGGCCTTCTCACGTTTTTTTAGTAATAATTCTTGGAGTAGTAAGGAATCCTCTCACCCTCACCTCAGCCTTCTTTTTTTTTTTGAGTTGGAGTCTCACTCTGTCGCCCAGGCTGGAATGCAGTGGCCGCTCCCGGCCACCGCAGCCTCGACCTGCTGGGCTCCAGCGATCCTTCCACCTCAGCCTTCCAAGTAGCTGGAACTACAGGCGTGTGCTACCACACCCGGCTAATTTTTTGATTTATTGTAGAGGTGAGGTCTCATCAAGTTGCCCAGGCGGGTCTTGAACCCGTGGGCTCAGGCAATCCACTCACCTCAGCCTCCCAAGGCGCGGGATTACAGGCTGAGCCATTGAACCCAGCTTTGCCTCAGCCTTCTAAGTAGTGAGGAAAAAGTCAGTACTTTCTCAAAAATCTTTCCCATTATTTCTGACCAACCCTCAAATTTGGATTATACCGATAATCCCAGCACATCTGTTTGCAATTTTGGGGTACAGTTGCTTTTCTGTTTTTGTTTATATTCTTCAAGTTGTGGAAGGGGGCTTAAAAAGACATCTATAATGTCAAAAATTAGGTTAAGCATTTACTCAGCCTTTGCACAGTTAAGCATGTTCTCAGCCTTTGCAGAGTTAAAAAAAAGTTTCTCTTCCTGGAAACTGGCAACAGCACCTGCTGGCTAGGTTAAACTGTTTAACAGCTTTTTTTTTTCCGCTTCTGTGAACCCCAGTAGCATTGCTTGAAAAGTACCTAGGCCTCCAGGATGTTGCAGTTTGGCCCACTCGGAAAGTCCCAATATGGTTTTGCCCCATTTAAGCAAGTCCCTACAGCAAATGGGGGCCCCTGCTGTGGTACTGGCATGTCCAGCAGGCAAGTGGCTGCCAGTTGGCTCTTGGCTAATAAATCTCTCCTTTTTTTTATAACTTGTACTTTTGGTGTCAGTGTCTGTGAATTAAGCACTCAGTCCCTATTTCATTTGGGGGCTTGCCCGGGAGATCTGAGAGCTTAATCCCCAGCCCCAATCACCAGCTGACCTTGTGGGTCTGCATACCCGCGAACCTCAGTGTTCGTCGGGCCTGGTGAGTCTGTGGACTCGCAAACGGCTAATTGTCTCCCTGGGAGACTCACAATGTCCCCAGAGCTCTCTGAGAGGTGAGTCAAGTTCCTGTTCTGTTTGTGCACACTTCTGGTTGGACCCGCAGGAAAGCTGGATGCAGCACTAATTCCTGGGTTCGAGGTCCCAGTGAGACGTCACTGGGCCCTCTGGTATTGCCTTTGGGCAGTTAGGTCTGTCTGGAGCCCAGGGTGAAACTTAGAGTGGGGGGAAGCCCTGTCCACTTCTAAGTGGACACGGGGGCTGAGCATTCACTCCTCCAAAAGTACAACGACCTGCTTCAGAATAAGCATTCCTTGGTTCAGGGGGCAACCGAGACTCAATTATGCCCCTGGACCACTGAAAGAACAATAAATTTGGGAAAAGGGGAAGTAACTCATTCATTCCTAGTAATCCCAGACTGCCCATACCCACTCCTGGTACGTGACCTCTTACACAAGCTTAAGGCCAACATAGGTTTTGAGGAAACCACGGCAGCAGTAAGCCTAAACCCACCAGGGGCATAAAAAATTCTTATTACTGTTCCCCTAAGTGAGGAATACGTGTTAACAGAAGGTGAGGTCCCTCTTGACTCTTCAAACGCCATACTGCTGGCTCAGCTGCAGACTGTTTCCCCAAGTCTGGGTTGAATTAAACTCCCCTGGGCTGGCATCCCATCAACCGCCAGTCATTGTACATCTAAAGTCAGGCAACGCCCATTAGGGTAAAACAGTACCCTATATCCCCAGAGGCCTGAAAAGGCATAGGAATCCACATCCAGTGTCTCCGGGAAACTGAAATCCTAGTGCTGTGCCATTCATCCTGGAACAACCTGCTTCTTCCTGTCAAAAAGGCGGGCACAGGAGACTACCGCTCTGTCCAGGACCTCAACAGGTGAGTGGAGGTCAACAGGAGAGTGGAGGATATCTATCCCACAGTCCCCAACCCTGGACCTTAAGGATGCCTTCTTCAGCATCCCATTGGCTAAGCAGAACCAACCCTTGCTTGCCTTTGAAAGGACAGATCCTGAAAAAGGGGGAAATGACCAGTTAACCTGGACACAACTCCCACAAGGATTTAAAAACTCTCCCACACTGTTCGATGAAGCTCTCTGCCAAGACCTCCAAGCTTTTCGGCAACAGCACCCTGAAGTGACGCTGCTACAGTATGTAGATGATCTGTTAATTGCAGCTACATCGGAAGGTGAGTGCCTGCATGCCACCAGGCACCTGCTTAAAGAACTTCAGACTCTGGGGTATTGGGTGTCAGCAAAAAAGGCCCAGCTCTGTGTAACTGTAGCCACATACCTTGGGTAGAACCTCGAAGGAGGTAAAAGATCCCTGACAGCCCAGCGCATTTGGGCTATAGCAGGCATCCTGGACCCAGGAAGCAAAAGGCAGGTCCGGGAATTCTTGGGAGCTGTAGGATACTGTCGACTATGGATCCTTAAGTTTGCTGAACTCGCAAAACCCCTCTATGAAATAACCAAGGGACCAGAGGCTAATTTTAAATGGACACCAGAGGGGGACAAAACTTTCCAAGCCCTTGTTGTGGGACTGGCATGTCCAGCAGGCAAGTGGCTGCCGGCTGGCTCTTGCCTAATAAACCTCTCCTTTTTTTAATAACTTGTACTTTTGGTGTCAGTGTCTGTGAGTGAAGCGCTCAGTCCCTATTTCAAAGTCTCTGTCACTAGACTGCTTTCTCCTGAGAATAATCACTGAGATTTTTCTTTTTGAGGACAGCAGAATTGGGACTTAAATGCTGATTTGATAAACCCCTGGCCTAAGAAACCCTTCCTTGGTCACTTCACAGCAAAGGCACAATGAAGCTTCTTCCATAAGCTGGAAAGGTGATGGTTTCAACTACATCTTTACCAAGGAGAGGAACAGGAATACATGTTAGGGCACAGTAGCCAGGCCATGGTTAATGCATGAGAACCACCTAGAACTTTCCCAGGTTTTATGGGAACCTAGACTTTTCTCCAGTTCTAAAACTCTAAGCCCTCAAATGGGGTACATTTATATATGAAGTAGTTAGCAACTTATTTTTGAGTTAAAGAAATCTAAACTCAGAGGGGTTAAGTAACTTACTCAAGGTCACACAGAACTAGGTTGTTCAACTATTCCAAAATTTATGCTTTTCCAACAGGCCTTGAAGTCTCCAAAAATCAGCATATTTATTTACCAAATAGTTACTGAGTGCCTACAGTGTGCCAGGCACTGGATACTGAGTAGTGGACAAAACAGAGGGGTTCCTGGACCTCATGGAGTTTACTTATCTGGCAGACACTAGCCAGGGAAGCAGGTGGGGGGAAGGAGGCTTAATCCATTTAAATCTATTCTGCGGGTTTCAGCTCTCCAGCTCTCATATGGGAGTGAGTCATCCATATGGGCAACCCCCTCCAACCACCGAAATTGAAATGGGCTTTTGGGTAGGGTCAAGGTAAAGGGGGTTAGTAGAGGAAGGACTCTTTTTCTAAAGTGCGGGGCTTCCTTCAAAAAGGAAAAAACAATCGAGCTTTAAAACCCGTTCTCAAGAAAAACCCCCGGTCTCTGGGTAAGGTGGTGGGCGTGGAGGGAGATTCAGTGAGGTGTGCGGGTAACCCTAGGGCAGGTACGACTCAGTTGCCAGGGGGCCACTGGAGGGGGAGTGTAAGAAAAGAGGGCGCTAAGCCCCCAAAACACCCACTTGGCGGCGCGGGGCCCCGCCCCCTCCCCAGGCGGCGCGGGCAATGAATGGGCCGCTCTGGTTCTCCAGAAATCGCCGCCACCCCTCCCCCGACCTCGGTCTCCCAGCGCTGCTGCCGTCACAGGGCGGGGAGCTGCGGGACCGCGAAGCAAACAAGCCCCGGAGCGCCGGCCTGGCCCCTCGAGCCGACGGGCGCTGCTCCCCTAGCTGCCAGAGGGACTGGAGCCGCAGCCCGTCCAGGACTCCGCCCCCACCCAGGCCAGGCTTCGCCGGCAGGTGCCCGGGAGGAGGGGCGGGCGCTGACCTTTTGGCCCCCTGGGCCGCCGAGCCAGAGCACGAGCCCCCCGACTTTACCTCCTTTTTCACGTTCCACAGCAGTTTCTCTTTGACTGCGTCCTCCGCGCTACCCA